TTTCTTTTCTTTCTTATTTTATATATATATATATATATATATATATAATATAAGAATATAAGAATATAAAATTTTAAAATATATTATAATATTTTTCAGTAAAAAAAATATTAGGACAAATATTTAAGATAATTTAATATTTTTAATTTATAATTTTATTACTTATATTTTTATTTAAATATAATTTTAATATATTTGTTACTTTTATTTAAATTTTTTTTAAATAATGAATTTTTTTTGTTACTTTTAATATATTTTTTACCAACTAAATTTTAGTCGGCGATTATAATTACAAAATTTAAAAATTGTGCTTCAACTTCGGAGGGAAACTTCGAAGGGAAATTTCATTGGCGACTACAAAAATTGGTCGGGAAAGAAAGGTTTAAGATTTCAGATTTCATTGGCTTCAGATTTCAGATTTCATTTTTCTGTCTCTGACTCTCTGACTCTCTCTCTCTCTCTTTCTCACTCTCTCACGCCTCTGCCCTCCTCCAACTCTCTCTCTCGCCTTTGTCTCCGTCGGCGTCGGATACGGGAGCATCACCGCCATCACTTTTAATAGTATATTTTTTACTAACTAAATTTTAGTCGACGATTATAATTACAAAATTTAAAAATTGTGCTTCAACTTCGGAGGGAAACTTCGAAGGGAAATTTCATTGGCGACTACAAAAATTGGTCGGGAAAGAAAGGTTTAAGATTTCAGATTTCATTTTTCTGTCTCTGACTCTCTGACTCTCTCTCTCTCTCTTTCTCACTCTCTCACGCGTCTACCCTCCTCCAACTCTCTCTCTCGCCTTTGTCTCCGTCGGCGTCGGATACGGGAGCATCACCGCCATCACGCCTCTGCCCTCCTCCAGCTCTCTCTCTCTCTCTCTCTCTCTCTCTCTCTCTCTCTCTCTCTCTCTTTCTGATAGCAGCTCCTGTTCTTGACACTGGCGAGCTCAGACGCCCCTTTCATCGTTGCCCACAAGAAGGCCACTCTCACCAGGCTCAAGTCCGGTGTCCAACATGTCTTCACTATAACTATAGCTCAATTTGTGAGTGTTTTTCCCCAATTTTTAGGGTTTTAAATTTAGGGATTTTGATATGGTATTAGATTAATAATACCACTTTTTAGCTGATGAAGGGAAGTATTTACTTTATGGGACGTGACGTGATGCCCTTGAGATAATGTAATTTATTAGTACTGAAGTTGCTTATAATATTTGTAATTGATTACTACCAATTCATGGTTTGAGCTTCTTTATTTCTTTCAGGGGTGATGTAGTGCAAGTAGACACCTGACTGCAGAACAGGGGACATTTTAACTAGAGCATCCAGGTGGGAACATTTTTCTTTTTTTTGAATATCATGATGCCGATGTTATGCAAAGTTCTTCTATTATGCTATTTCTTTTGAAAAAGTTAAGTGGAGCCACAACTGCATTGGAAAATGGTGAATATATTATCTGTTTATTCTTTGACAAATAAAATTATGGGATTATTTGTTGAATATATTTAATGCTAGAGGAAGTAGCAAAAGAAGCAACTAAACATATAGATCATGCAAAATTAGTTGGAAGTCTTCTGCTAAAAAGATTCCCAACTTTCTTAAGAACATGAAAGGTATTCTCTGGAGAATGTTTAGCCAATGACCTTTAGACTGTGTGTGTCGAGTGTAACTTTCTGTGAACCAATTGAATGGCTTTTTTGGACTAACTGACGAGAGTTCTCTATAGCATGTAAAGCTATAGTCTTTAGAGTTCCAAGAGTAACTTGTTTTGAAGTTGAAATGGAAGAAAGTGAGAACAAGAGATAACTTTTATTCACCCAAAAAAAGATCTATAACTTGCTTTCCTATATAGTTTGATTTAGAAGAATATTTCCATGTTTAGTTGTAAGGAATTGCATTTGTTGATAATTAACTTTTGGAAGATCTTTTGTGGTGTATTGTATTATATTTTGATTTTCAATTTGGTAAAAGAAATGGAGCTGTATCATTTTCTATGGGTTGATTTACTTGGAAATACTTGTAATTTGTAAAATTTATTATTTTTTCTTTAGATAATATTTGTGAAATGATTTTCACACTTTTCTTTTAACCTTTCACAACGGGAGTGTGAGAGGCTAACGGGGGAGAGTGAATATAATTTCTCTAATATTATTATTCAATAGAATGTAGATCCATTGCAATATTTTGAATTTTATCAAGGTCAGTTTTGTGGTAATTGGCATTTGAGGCCACCTTTATTATCAATTCTAACTTGCTTTGGAATTTTCTGTTTCTATTTACAGCATTCATGGGCAATGTGCAGCAACTATGAAATCTCTGTTAAGAGTAACTATAACTTTGAAAAACCTTTCTTGCACCTTGCCAGGAAGCTTGCAGGGTAATGGAATAGTACATTGTTTGTTATTTTATTTTTTGTTTATTTATACTGGTGGAATTGTAGACTATTAGATAAAGATAAGCAATTAGTTGCAGGGGACTATTAGATAAAGATAAGCAAGAAAACATCACAAATAATTATCTTTATCTTTGCAGGGGAACTCTCCAAAGGAACCTTTTGAATTAATATCATTAGAAAAATGAAAAAATAGTGTGATAAAAAATCCATCAAAGATAGTGTGATAATATCATTAGTTGCATCATGATGTAATGAAAAAATAGTGTGATAATATCATTAGTTGCATCATGATGTAATGAAAAAATAGTGTGATAATATCATTAGTTGCATCATGATGTAATGAAAAAATAGTGTGATAATATCATTAGTTGCATCATGATGTAATGAAAAAATAGTGTGATAATATCATTAGTTGCATCATGATGTAATGAAAAAATAGTGTGATAATATCATTAGTTGCATCTAGATTAGGTGCATTTAAACATATAAGAAAAATTTGATTAAAATATGAAAAAAAAATCCACCAAAGATTAAAAAATACGAAAAACAAAATTTCGTAAACAAATTTCAAATTTTATTTTTTGGTGGTGGTGGTGGTGGTGGTGGTGGTGGTGGTTCACAGTTCTTAAATTTTTAACTTGTGGGGAACATTAGAGTCCAGGAATGAAAATTTATGAGTTGCTGTTAATGATCAATTTGTGGTGTTTCTTATCCCTTTGGTATTCTTTACAGGCACGAAGCTGAGCTTGCTGCAGCGGCTAGCCAGCCCCTTCCTGATGATGATGACGATGCATTTGACTAATGCTCATGACTTTAGCTTTTTGCTATCATTTTTCGTGCTCCTTTAGTTAATATGAGTTCTAAAAAAAAATTTCAACGCTATCGAAGGATTTGTGTATGAGAGGTGAATGTATCGCGGAGAAGAGACCATTTTAGTTATTCTTTAGCCATTGTTTGAAGTCTGGTTGTGGTTGTGCTTTGTGGTAGAATTCTTTAGGCTGCCATATGGATGTTTTGAGTCACTTCAAGTGTTTGCTTGAAGATTTTAAATTATGTATGGATTTAAATTATTGACGTTGGATTAGACTTGGACTATATGGAATTTGTATTATATATAGAATTGGACGTTCAAAATTACTTTTTTGGATGCTTGGAACTGAAATGTGTGCACGTTGTTGAATGCTTTAATGGTTGATAACATATTTTGGTGTTGATAGATTATATTGTTTTATACAGGGTACAGGTTGTAATATAAATGAATACAGGTTGTTTACAAATTTTTTTTTTTTTCCAAATTATTTGGCCACCAAATGTTTTGGTAGCCAAATAGGTAATCAAAAGTTTTGGCTACTAATAATTTAGTAGCAAAAACATAACCCAAAACGTTTTTGCCACCAAATAATTAGTAGCTAAAAAATTTGAGAATGAGAGAAATAAACTATTGGCTACTAAATTTTTTAGTCACGGAAAAAATGGTATCATTTGGCGACTAAAACTTTTGGTGGCAAAAAGTAAAGAAATGAATCTTAATAGGTTTTTGGCTACGAACAGTTTTAGTCGGCAAAAGTCACCACGCCTAAGGTAGAACTTTTAGTGACTAAATGGTTAGTAGCCAAAAGTTTAATAAAATGAAAAATAATATTTTTGGCGACTAAATTCTTTAGTAATGGTCATTTTTTTCTTTTGGGAGCCATAAAATGAAGGGTTGGGATTCATGTTAAAAGGAATTTGAAGATCAAAATGTGTGATTTACCTAATGATGATTAAGGGAAACTAAGGAAATATATGCCACTCTAGGTTTGGCCCAGAAAATAAGGGGCTATGTTCTGGCAATGATGGACCATAGGTCTTGGGTGTTCAGCGATGGTGAAAGGAGTATGGGTTGGTGTTTGGGTACTTGGGTTTTGGATGTGTTTTGCATGCTTTGGTTTGGGCGTGTCGGTTAGTGGTTCTTGTAGTGTTAGCGTTGGATTAGGTACGACAGCTTACACTAAGTATTTAAAGTTATTTAAGGACACTCTAAAGATTGATTATTAATATGTTATACTATTAAACGTGGTTCAGGTAAATTGCATACTTGGACTCCTGCAAATTGAGATTGTATTCTTTTGGACCTCAAGTGAATGAATTTGCATTCTACATATTTTTGTGAAATTACCCCGTCTCTGAACTATTTTGGAATATATACATATATATATCATTTGACTGCTGGTTTAAAACATAATTATTCATGATTTGAAATCTCGTTTGGCATATGATTATAACTGTTTTGATGTACTCTTTTATTTACATCATTGACAACTGTTTTACATATCTATATGATGAGACTTCATGTGATGACTGTCTATGGAATCATCTGTGTGCAAAGTTCATCGAATATTCTTTTCCGTGAAGTGACTCTAGCCACTAATGGAAAGACCTAGGTGAGGTTGTGGTGATTGTAGTGCTCATGAGCTCAAGGGGAAGTCATGGTCTGTCTAGGTGACCTTAACTGGATTGGCTTAGAAGAGAAAAGGCCAGGGTGTCACCCCACATTGACTCCAAGTGCGATGTAGGATCTTACCAGCCAAGGATGCCGCAAGAGATGATTTGGCTCTGGATATTCTTATGATTATGGTTCCAAAGATTGTGTTGATCATGTTAAAACCGTTATGATATCAATTACTGTTATGTTAGGAATTGTGATACTATTTACTCACCATTCAAAGTGATGATACGAGACAAATGTATATACATTGTTTTAAGATAAGAAACACTACCTTGTCAAATTAATCGTATGCAATGGTTATTCTTTTTATATCAGCTATTTTAGATTCCCAGCTACTTTATTACTATGCATGCCTTACCATTCACTGAATTGCAAGCACACCACTCATATTTACCATTTCAGATTCATTGTTGGTAGGAATGTACACAGGTCGGATCGGATCGGTTCTGACAGTCACCAACATCCAAAGTGACACCTTCGAACTTTCCATCCGCTACCAACCGAAAACTGCTTCAAAACCGTTCATTTCGGGTGGTATAAACTTCAGTCGGACTTTGGTCAGTGCTCTGTTATGAAGTTTTATTATCTCAAAGTAAAGGGAGTGAGGGAGAAAAAAGGGTTTCTAGGCAAGGAAGGAAGAAGGATGAGGGTATCAAGACACAAGGAAGAAGCAAAATAGATCTCAACACAACACTATCACCATCATCAGCACTGCAATCCCAGCGTAGTCGATCTCAAGCCATCACCTCTTCCATGATCCCACGCCGTCGCCATTGTCGCAGAGAGAGGAGAGGTGCAAATAGTGAGGGAGAGAGGAAGGCAAGGGAACTGGTTAGAGAGAGAGAGAGAGAGAGAGAGAGTGAAGGGGGTTGGGTGAGAGAGGGAGACGACACGGTTGAGAGAAAAGGAAGATGGAGATGAGAGTGAGGGTTAGAGAGAGGCAAGAGGTTTGAGAGAGAGAGAGAGAGAGAGATGAGATGAGAGAGTGGAAGAAAGAGAAGAAGATAGAAGGTCGAAGGGTAGGGTCAGATTATTAGATATTTGATTGTCTTGGGAAGGGAAAATTTAGAGCGAGAGACCAAAGGGTTTTTTATTAGGGAAGGTTAAGAGGGATTTGAGAGAGAGAGAGAGAGATGAGAAAGTGGGATTGAAGAGAAGATAGAAGATGGAAAGGTTACACTATTACATATCTGTTTGTCTTGGGAAGAAAAAAATTAAAGAGAGAGAGAGAGAGACAAAAGGTAGGATCAAATTTATTGGGAAGGGAATCTTTGCTTGGGAAGATATGTCTTGAGAAGTGATGAGTCAATTGATGCAACTACAATTAAAGGCGCATGTACAGAACTAACAGACTATACATACATAACTAAGTCAGTAGGTTTGGGTTATACGAATTCATTTTTATTTAAACTGATGTTCGACTGAAATACCGAGGAAGTTTTAGAAAGTGAACCGCAGCCGACCAAATAAATGGTTGAAACCACTCGTACTATAGTCAGGTCGGGCGGGTTGACTCGGGTTTTCGGGTGAATCAGATTGATGAACACCCCTAGTTGTCGGGATGCTAGAAGAGGAATCTGGTACATTGGGGATTGTCTGTTTCATGACCCCCGTAGCATGTTTATCGTCACTATTGATTCTGAGACTTTGTCCTTTCTGTTTGCATTTGGGTCCTTATTATTTGACATTGAATAGTTGTCCATTTCACACACTTTATTATTCCTGGTTGTATGTGTTGTTTGTGCCATCTATTATGACTTTGTTACCTTTTGGAGTTTGGTTTCAGATTTATTAGAATTGTATTTCTTTATGGTGTTAGATTATTTGGTTTGGCTAATAGGCTTTCATGCCCCGTGGGCTAAGGCTCCCTGGTTCACAACTATTTGCGTCCCTAATTGTGGTCTTACAGCATAACTACCCATAACTGCACCATTTCATTAATTCTACTCTCATTACATCTTTACCTTTCACAACTGTCATGTTTTGATGAACCAAAGCAAAAGTGTTTTGAGCAAACTTTTGACTGTAAGTTGCTTACTCCACAAAACGAAGTTAAAACCACGTGATGTAATTACACATAACTACCCCAATTCCTTAATTCTAGTCTCACTACACCTTAACCCTTCGGCACCAATCTTTCAGCCAATCATCTAGCACACAAAAACTCACTTGAGACATGGCATTTTACAGCTCTTTTAGCATCATAGTCATGCCATAATTTCCCTCAATTATCTTACCAGCAACCTAACCCTAGCTACTCATTTTGTTAATCCACCTATGTTTCTTAGTTTGTAACTAATATCAAGCCATAAACTTGAATGTCCCGAAGTTCATGCCTTGCGGGCCGGTGACCTTTTCTCTATGGTCCCACCCCCCTTCAGTTTAACCAAAGCACCCTGCCAATAGATTGTTCCCCTAAGACGTCACAATGTCCACACATTAAGCCTGCCACTTTGTTTCACAATTTAGCACACACCTCTCATTTCCCATACGTAATGTTTCAATTCTCATCCAAAAGGCATCAAAAGAAAAAACTACATTTTAAGGACTAAGTAGAGAATTGCATAGCAAAAGAATGCATACACAACAATTCAAGACTCGAGACTAACTCATTTGAATGGCTCAAGCACCCTTGTGACTGATACCTCCCTCAAGCTTCAAGATCTCAAGAAGCCCAATTTAGCCCTTAGATGTCTAGGAAAATACAAATTTTGGGTGATCTGATTTGGTAGTTTCCTTTCATTTGCACAATTATGTCAATTATTTTCATGTCTCATTGTATTATTATTTTTTCATACCGCATAATAGCCCCTTCAACCACTGTTGTAAGCCCAGTGGCTAGCACTTGTGTTCCTCACTAGGAGGCCACGACTTCAACTCCCTCATTCCCCTCCAATGTACCATAAAAAAAAAATGAGAGCCCCTTCAAAATTCCTCCATTCTCTTCCTTCCCAAACAAGGGAGCAACAATGAGAGTAAGCTTGGACATGCTAGTCATTCTCATTACTGCTTGTTTCGTTAAGTTCACCCACATTGTGTACGTTATTAGTTAGTGTAGAATTTTCAGACGCCAACTTGCTGTGAAGCCATTTCTTAAAGACAGACCATCTGAAATTGTTTGAGATGTATCCAGGTTTTCATATATTTTGTCCATAAAAAAAATTGTATAAATATAAGGGAACAAGAAGGAGAAAGTCACTATCACATAATGTATTGAGCATTGTATATCAAACTCACCATTAGGCGAAATAGGAGTTTGTCATTTGAACAGCTACTGATTAAACGAGTAATACAACAGTAAGTTATAGAATGGACACAACGCAGTTCATGCACATTGAATTGCATAATTCTTATTTCACTCTTTACTTTCTTATGGTGGATGATTAAGATTTAAAATATTAGCACAATTAAAGGGTTGCTTGTTATGATGTCAAGGTCAGCCAACTGGTAAAATGGTCCAAAACATTGCATGTTGACTTAACAAAAGAATGATGAAGTGTGAAATTTCATGGTAAAATAATGTTCTGCTAACAAATTTTGGTAGTTTAAATAGCAACTTTAAGATATTGTCTATCAAGAACTGTCATAATTACTTGCCATAGAAAACATACCGGATTCTGATCTGCCCATTTCCACAACTGAGATAGTTCTTTATTCCCTAGTCTCCACCGTATCTTACTGCCGGGTGAAAGAGGAAAAAGGAGAAAGTTCAGAAGTAAACCTAAAACTGAATAAAAATGATTCTCAAATTTTAAAAAAGATTTCAAGTTCAAACTAGTCGATTCCACAGTGGCCATAAACTACTACGAAAGAAAAATGGAGGTACCTCAGATTTTGTGAAGTAATGGATATTTTATAGACAGAATAAATGTTTTAAGTTGATAAAATCTTGCAGTTTTGTTTTCTTCATTTCTTACTAACTTTCTTCTTTTCTTTTCTTTTTTTTCCAATGAGGTAAGAACTATTAATCAAGTCAATATTTCGTTACTAGTTTTATTTGCGTAATAAAGGAAATTTTTTGTAGGCATTTCTAAATTTATTTTAGAAATGATTTCTAGAACTTATCAGCACGCAATTAATCTTGAATAAAATAATTTTTTCTTCACTTTAGGTGTCACTTAAGCTAATCCCTAAATGGATATAAACAAATGCAAGGGACGTGTCCTTAGAAATCTTTCACATTGCATGGACATCATTTTTTTTTACAAGGACTAATATGGACTGTTGTCCGACAACTAAGTAATATGCAAGGTCCCCATTAGAGAAGGGAAAAAAGTATTATGACAGATGCGTAGGATTATAAGATAGTGTACACATAACATGCAAAGTTTTAAAAATCGACCACAACTGTTGCATAACAACATTGAGTTAACGGTTTTGGTTGCTGCCATCTGTTACAACCAGTGTAGAGGTTGTGTAATAGAAATGAAGGCCATGGCATTATTGTTACAACCATAACAGTTCTATTTTCAGTAGACATTGTATATGAGGCCACTTTTTCCCATTTTTCTTTTTTTCCAACTACTAAAATTACAACCAAAAAAAAAAAGCACACAGAATTCATGCAAAAATCTTAGATCTACATGTTTTGAGTGTCCAATCTTCAAACTCTACAAGATCTGAGTTGCTATCATGGAAAGATGAACCTCATCTTTTTTTCAAACATTCATTACTTTTCCTTCTTTTTTTTTTTTTTTTTTGGATAGATAAACTTTCATTACTTTTTCACTTGATTCCTTGAGTATTAAAATATATCTATTTGGTCTTAGGTTAAATTTGTTGGATATCATGTTATGTACTTTTACATTTAGTATATTAGCATTATCAAATATGTTCATAATTTTTTTTTAATAACAAGGGGAAGTGATCCACAAGTATGATCAATAAAGTAAGGAGAACTAAAATACACACAAAAAATATAGAAAAATATCCATAGCAACTTAAAACTAGAGTAAAAATTAGTACATGTATTGAATCGTGTTTAGAAACTAAACAAAACCCACCAAAACCATTTCAAACCCTACTAAATGTGATTATGAAATAAAAACATGTGTATGAGTAAGTTTTTCCAAATTTCTATAAGTAAAACATTCACAACTCCGGTTGTTGCCACCTTTATGCTATGGTCCGCAAGCATGTCAATGCCACTGATACTTAAAACATTGATAACATGTGCCAAACTGTTTGACAGATTAAAAAACAACAATGCTTGGTAGCTCAAATTTTCACGGCTCAAACGTCTCGAAACGACGTCGTTTTGGAGGTAAAACAACGTCGTTTTGATACATTTGAGCCATTCGGGCCACACAAATTCGAGCTACCAACCATTTTTCATTAAAAAATATGATGCGGTAAAGATGTCCTCTTTACATAACTCGATAGCTCGTACTATGCAAAAGTTTTACAGCCTTTCACCATATGGATATCATCAACTTTGATACCAATAGTTGGCAGATGATTTGGGAACACATTGGGTAAGAAAGGTCAACATTTATCAAATTCAAGTGAAAAAAATAAAATAAAAATACAGAATCTCTGCATTGTCTACTAGACAAAAAGTGTCGTACAGAACAGGACTATGGTTGAAGAGCATCATCCAAACTCTACACCAAAAAAAAAAAGCCTCCAATTGGAAAGAACAATGACATGAATTTTCCTATTCCACATGATAATCCAAATTGAAACCATCACAACGAATAATTTTTTAAATCACTAGCCAGATAATACCAATTTGGCAAGATCACAGTCTCAATACTAGTGTACATCAAAAAGTCCACACTGACTGCATTTTGTGGATAGCCTAGAAAAATCTCACTCAAACATGGAATAGGACATTTATTTCCACCAAAACTAACCTTGTACCCTCCCAAAAAATAAATAAAAATAAATAAAAAAGAGAAGAAGCTACTGAAATAACTTTATGAACAAAAGTAATGCATTAGAGGATGTGTTTGTGGGTTTGAGACAACTTCCAATAGCTCCAACAACCATTCACACTTAAAAGCAGATTCTACGAAAAAAAACATAATCCAGACCGCAGGCCAATGTTGTTCCTTTTTAGCTTTTCCATTCCTCATGATTAATGAAGGCAAAGAAATATAGTAGTTAATTCTTACAGTTGTTCAAAAAAAAAACTTTTTGAACCTTGATTAATGTGTTTAAGGTAATTTCCTGTTTGCATTGGTTGGACCACAAAATGGGATAAATACTCCAAATGCGTGGTAGGAGCATCCTTCGTTTAGACCCATAAGTCTTGTCTCGACACTCTATAAGATTTTGGGGAAGGTTTTATCAAAGAGACTTAGAACGACTTTGGCAGAGACCGTTTCCTCGGTGCAAGGAGCTTTTGTAAAGGGTTGTCAGATTTTGGATGCAGTTTTGGTAACAAACGAAGCGGTGGAGGAGAATAGAGTTTTGAAGAAGGAATGTGTTGTTTTTAAGGCTGACTTTGAGAAAGCCTATGATCATGTAGATTGCCACTTTCTGGATTTTGTAATGTCTAGAAAGGGCTTTGGAGAGAGGCGGAGGAGATGGACTTGGGGCTGTTTGTCTACATGTAATATGTCAGTCATAGTTAATGTGAAGTCGGGGAATTCTTTCAGGGTCACATGGGGTCTTAGGCAAGGCGTTCCATTGTCCTCTTTCCTTTTTATCCTGGTAGCAAATGTTTTGGGTAGATTCGTTGGTAGGGCAAGAGAGATCTTGTAGATGGTTTTGTGGTTGGGAGAGACAGAGTATTTTTCCCACCTTCAATTTGAAGATGACACCATGTTTTTTTCATCAAGAGAGGAGTGTGGGGTGAGGCGCATTTTGTCGCTTTTAAGGACTTTTTAGATGATCTCGGGTCTTAAAGTAAATTTGAGCAAGAGTAGTATTGTAGGCATTAACTTGCAACAGAGCCAAATTCAAGGTTTGGCAGAGATCCTAGGGTGTTCCATAGAGAAGTCACCCATGAAATATTTAGGGCTACCTCTAGGGGGTAGTCCTAGAAGTGAATCATTTTCGGCACCGGTGGTGGATAAGATAGGCAAGAGGTTGGAGGCGTGGAAAAGAGCTTTGCTTTCAAAGGGAGGAAGCTACACGTTGATCCATTCTATTTCAAGTGGTATTCCCATTTATTTTTTGTTCCTTTTCAAGGTACCGGTTAGGATTGTTAAATCTAGCGAGAACCTAATGAGGGATTTTTTATAGGAAGGAAAGGATGAGGGAATAAAGATGCATTTGGTGAGATGGGAAACTATCTAGTTGTCCAAGGATAAGGGAGGACTTGCTTTAGGGAACATTATAGCAAGAAATCTTGCACTCCTAGAAAAATGGCTTTGGAGATTCCCTTAGAGAGTGACTCATTATGGCATTCTATTATCAGGAGTGAGTATGGGGTTCATGATGATGTTAGGTTTTATTCAGGTTGTTTTGAGGGGTAATTGTCGGTCTCCTTGGAAGTCGATATCTCATGTTTTCCCTCTTTTCTCTAGATTTCTATCTCTAAGGATGGGAAATGGGGCGTCAATTCAGTTTTGGGAGGACATATGGATTGGAAATTCTTCTTTTGCTAGTGATTTCCCGGGTCATTATAGGGTTGCAAACTCTCATGGTTCTTCCATTGCGTCGTTGGCATGCTCTAGTTTCGCCCCAACTGCTTGGAATCTTAGCTTTGCTAGAAATCTTTCTGACAAAGAGGCGGGTGATTTGGCCTCCTTGTTCTCTCTCATTGATCGTTTGTCTTTGGATTCTTCCTTGAGTGATAAATTGGTTTGGCTCTTACATTCTTCCGAAGTATTTTCTTGCAAATCCTTCTTTGAAAAAATCACTGAAAAATCAAATATTCCATTTTTTCCCCTTCATAAAAGAATCTGGAAGTCTTTCGCACCTCTCAAAGTGAAGCGTTTTGTATGGTCTTTGGTTCATAGAAGCATTTTGACCAACGAGGTCCTTCAAAAGAGGAGGCCTAATTGTTATCTTTCTCCTCATTGGTGCATTATGTGTAAAGGAGAGAGGGAGAGTCTAAATCATTTTTTCTTGCACTGTTCAGTGGCAAGAAGTTTGTGGCAGCAGTTTTTTGCTTGGGGAGGTCCTACTTGGGTGGCCCCTGAATCATGTAGTTCAATGCTCTCTATTGATTTTTGATTCTTAGGCCTAAACAAAAAAGCAAAGGTGTTGAGGCTTTGTGCAGTTTTTGCTCTTTCCTGGGTTATATGGTTGGAAAGGAATGCGAGGATCTTCGAGGATAAATTTACTGACGTATCTTTGATGTGGGAGAAAATCAGATTTCTTGCATCTTTTCGGCCTTCAGTTGCTTCCCCATTTAGGAAAATTTCACTTTTTTTTTTTTAATTTCTAGCAATTGGAAGACTGTATGCGATTTGTAGAATTTTTTCTTTTACTTTAGAGGACTTCTTGTCCTCCTTTGTACCTCTTTTTACACCATTTTAATAATGGCCTTGTTTGGTTTGTTTTTGAGAGAATAGTTTTGGAGAAAAAATTTCAAAATTTTGTTTGGTTTAGTGATTTTAGAAAAAAAAATTTCAAAATCACTTTCTCTCTCTTACACATCAATCAATCACTTTTTTTCTCTCCTCTCTCCTTCTCAATCACTTTTTCTCTCACACACATCTACTCAACTACAACAAAATATCAAATCATCCCAAACTCTCATACTCCAAAACTATTTCCAAAATATACAACCAAACAAATCAAAAATAATTCTAAACTCTCTCCCTAATTTTTTTTTTTGAAAATTTATCTCCCAAAATCAAACCAAACACACCCAATATTTTCTGTTGTTGCTGATCAAAAAAAAAAATAATACACATCTTAAACTTCCCAGAGGGAGAACTGTTTTAGTTGCAAGGCTGAAGACAATTGAACATTGTGCTCCATCCCTCCATCTTTTTGTGTGTGTCGCGTAAAAGTTATAATTGGACGCATTGGTGTGGTCGAGTAATGTAAAATTTGCAGAGTTTGCATGGATTCGGCCTAAATGATCATAGGTTTTAATTTTACACTTCACATACAATCCAGCTTTAGGAAACTTGGTCTAAGACTCCTACAATAGGAATTGTAGTGGGTTTTGGTTCTAAAAAAGTTTTAGGGTTGGGGTTTTATAACAAAGAAGAAAGCTTCGGGAGTCTGCAGATGTAGAAGGCTGGTTCAGGCTTGATTTTTAAAAGTTTGGAGGCTTGGGGAGAACCTATTTTATGGTATTTTAGTGTGAATTTAGTAACCAAAAGGTAGAGAAAGATTTGAGGTTAATTGGTTGGCTATCTAGGGGCTAGAAAAAGATTGTTCTATGGTCGTGCACAATAACCCAAACATAGTAACTAGGGTATGTACACAAAAAAAAAAAGACAAAGAAGAAAGAGAATGTTTTGCCCTCTCAAAAAATTCATATAAATACAATCTCAAATTCTCAAAATATCAAAATATCAAGTACATCCTGAAGAGAAAGATTTCATGCCTATTTATAAGCTGCTAGACTTTCTCTATTCATATAAAAACCATGATTCCCCAATTAGAAAAGACCAAATAAATAATTTCACCCATTAAAATCCTCATGGCAGACCCTTATGACGGGTAATTATATTTGCACACCACAAAAAATCTTAGTACACACATTTATGTCATTCGGAAATAAACTTCTGAACAAAAGTCAAATGTTCGGACATAAACTTAAGTACAAAAAGCGATTGTTCGGACATAAACAGTTGAACAGAATGTATATTTGAACAATTCATTTTTGTTCATGTCTGAACATTGGACTTTTGTTCGGAAGTCTATATGCGAACAACACAAATGGTATGTATTGAGATTTCTTGTGGTTTGCAAATAGAATTTCCCCCTTACAACCCGTCCTACAAATAACAAAGTTACCAAAATACCTCTAACTACTAAAACTTAATATAATGACAAAATTGGTACAGCAGCATACTAAATTACAATAAATAAAAATAAAGACACAAATTAATCAAAAACTTTATTCTATGATACCCTAAACGTGCTCTATGTAAAATTTCATATTTTCCCTTTTTCTACGATCCCACATTAATTAACAATGTACATGGCCATGTGAATATAAGTTCTTGGGCATCCTCCCCTTGCAAGCCAATTTTCATGAGTGACTTTTACCCATGGGTTTGAATCATTTAGTATCAGAACCAACCACCATGTTGAGTATGGGATCGGACTATACGACTATGGAATGGGATGGGCTTACACCTTCGCGGTTCGAGCTAAAGGAGCAATCTATAGGTCAGATTAAGACACCTTAATATTGTGTTTGGGCATTGTACCATGATAAAAGGGCAACCATTAGCTCAATGTCAATAAACTGAGCCGACTGAGACATCAACTACAGAGCACGGTGGTGTGTTCCAATCCCATTTCCGTAAGAAAGGATTCGAACATCTGAATATAAATTATTGGGCAACCACCCCTTGCAAGCCAATTTGCAAGGATGAATTGTACCCATGGGTTTGTATTCATTATGATGTAACCACAACACTAAAGCATGTCAATAGAAACCCGACACTCTAATTTTATACTATGATAAGCTTCATTTGATTGACTCCATATTTGTTGCATATGAAATTTTTAACCTAGATCATCATCGATCAATTACTTGCCAAAACTACCCGAGGACTAAAAATAAATAAAAATCTAGCTCTTTCAATTCTACCTCAGACTTCCTTCTAAATTACATCAAAGATCGCAAACACACGATGTCACAAGATTAATTAAAAACCTATTCAAATCAATCTACAAACATTCATACCGCTTTTTTGCTCCATCTTGAACTGATTTCTTCTCTATTAGTGGCTTTTCAAAAGGTGGGCAACCATCACGTTTCCACCAGACCTAAAACACTCAAACATGAGGAAAAAGTAAGCTAGAAAGCAATCATCATAGTGGTGAGCAGATAATTGTAGCTAGTAGAGAGAGACAGAGAGAGAGAGAAAACGTACCCAATTCCTTTCCCTTTCCAATATATGATCAATACTATTAAGAAATTCTTTGCCATTAGGTGGAGTCATTTCAAGAAGCTTCTTTACACGCTCCTCAAAAGATTTTATTTCTTCCTTCTAGAATCACAAAGGATATCTGATTAATAATATAAAACCAAAAGTAAATTTTATGCATAGATATGCAACTGAACAGGTCAAACTTAAAATAAATCTAATTGACTAGAGTTCACATAGGAAAATCATTTGTTATATTCATATCAGGGGGAAAAAAAAAGTACTGAATTTGCATTGGCTTGTTCAAACTCTTTCAGGTGTGAGGAAAATGGGAAGTCTTACCAAACACCCACATGACACTCCATTAGCAATATTTTACTACTAATAGATTAGTCATAGAAGACACATAGCAGGACTAACTTGAATATACATATATATTATATATTCTCAAGATGCAATAAATAGTTGTAGATGGATAGATGGTTTTTGGTATTGGGGTGATTCTATTTGCACACTCATACTTTGTCTCAGTACACACCATTTGTGCCGTTCAGATCTTAGTTGCACAAAACAGGGGCTAGGACGGGAGCGGAGGTGGAGCGAGAGCATATAGAAGTTTCTTAAGTTGGGACCGCCTATGGGCGTGTATATATTTATTTATTAAATATATAAAGATATTCTAATGATTATTTTATGCTACTTAATTGTAATATATATATTAAAATATGAATAAATATTTGAGATTCATGTCAACTACAAATTGCCTTTATTAAGTATAAATAAATATTATATAAATAGAAACTACTAGAATAAGTGTGAGTTGATTTTCTTTTGTTTCTATGAGATTTATGTTTGAGAGGTTTCTATCTCAGTTGGGAGCGAGTTTCTTTCTCGACGGGAGCAAGTTTCTTACAATTTTCTTACTTGGGAGTGCAAATCACATTTTTTAGTAAGAAAAGCTACTTGAGTAGAAGGTTCCGCTATCAACTTCCGAACAAAATACAAATGTTCGGATATTTACTTCCGAACAAAATACAAATGTTCGGATACCTACTATTGAACAGGATTTTTGTTCGAACAATTGGTTTTTGTTCAAAAGTTGATATTCGAACATTTTGCTTTTGTTCAGAAGTTGATATCCGAACGACACAAATGATGTGTACTGAGATAAAGTATAGTGTGCAAATAGAATTATCCTTGTGATTGAGCTATCATCTTACCCTCTAAATAAAGAAACCATATAACAAGTTCAAGCTCAGGTAAGTGCATGAGAGTTAACACAGAAACTGCTAATCAAGAATTTTGTGCTAATATTAAGGTGTGGTTATTCGCCCTTGTGCAACACTCATTCATCTTTTATTAGTATTGTAGACCATAATGCTCTAAATTGAAGCAACTTCGACGATCTCAAGCAGTACACTTCAATGTTTGGCTTAGTGTCACGGGTTGCCTTGCAAGGCTAACTCCGTGACGTTTCGCTCGCGGTGGTGTGGCCATTTGAGTGCTCAAGAGTGGCCGTTGGAAATGAAAACCGAAGGAGGAAAAAAAAAAAAAAAACCTATACGTACTTATCCCTCCTTTAATTCTATAAATATTCGAAAGCCTAAATCTTTACAACTTCTAATTTGTTTGTGAATAATTGATATTTTTAAAATTACGATTTTACAGTATCTATTCTCACTTTTTCTATCTAACATATAAACATACGAAACTTATTTATGTTCCACTTAGTCTAAATTATTTTCTTATGTTCTAATAAGTTCTATGGGTGACATAGTTATCAAAATACTCCTAATAATAATAGGGTGAAGCACGTATTAATGTTAACATTGACAATATGAATGTTCCATGATGTGAACATTCACACTGTCAAATTTATTTAATGTTGAATGTTCACATCATGGAATATTCACACTGCCAATGTAAACATTCACACTGTCAAATTTATTTTTATTTTATAAAATTGCATATTCAAGTGAGATCTTATTTGATAGATCTCGTTAAATACATTTAAAAAATATAAATTTCATTTAAAAAATATGTACAACAAAAATTATTAATTTTTAAAGTTTAGGGTTAAATTCATTTTACACCCTTGTGGTTTGGTGCTTCTTAGGATATGTTTTACCCCCTTGCTACATCAATATGTTTGTATCCTGTTGTAACTGTGTCTTGTGTCCATATTCGTGCTACTTAGAATACAACGCAATGTGAACACAACAAATAACAAATTCTAAAAGAATAAGATAAGATACAGTGGACACATGACAATAAAAATTGAAATCAATGAAAAGAAAATAAAAGATAGAAGAGGTACACATTACAAGAAAAGGGAGATAATGAAAATTAGGGGTCTCTCCCTTTATCCCTTTTATGGGAGCTTCTATTTGCACCTCTGTTTTTCCTTAGTTTACAAAATTTGTGTTGTACGGATATCAACAATGAAACAAAAATCAAGTGTTAGTATATCAACTACCAAACAAAACAAAAAAATGATTGGATATCAAGTACCAAACGGGGTTTTCATTCAGTAGTTGATATCATGATTGATTTTAATAATTGATATCTGAACAACAAAATGATGTGAAATGAGAAGTTTTGTAGTGTGCAAATAGAAGCTCTCCTTGTATTAATACTAGACTAGTCCAAGTTACAAAAATACCCTCCTTCCTTACTAATACAAGGAAGAAAGGTAAAAATAACAAAAGCATATTTAACACTACCCCTCAAACTGGAACAAAGATGTTTTCAAGGCCCAACTTGTTGATAACTAGGTAAACAAATAATAAGTACTCTTTTAAGTCAGGATGTCTCCTAGTTTATCTCTAGTTTTCACATACAAATAGCACCAACATTCAAATTCTCTTTGATAAAATCTAAGAAGCACAAACAGTTCTTAGAAGGTGATGTATCCATGTCATGTCCATGTCGGACACCAACACTCATCAAAACGTGTCCTAATTTTTTTAAAAAAATTAGATCCAGACACTTGTATCCATTGCTTATCCACTGATTAGACACACATGAAATAATATCAGTTTGAACTAATTAACTTAGGATACAACAATAAAATAAAAAGCAATGTAAATTTATAAAATGTCATATTACTTTTTTTATTATCTTTTAATGGTATATTCATATATATAATATATAAAAAATATATATAAAATTATATATTTCGTGCGTGTCCCCTACGTGTCGTGTCCTGCATTTTTGAAAAATTGGTGTGTCCGTGTGTCCATGTCCGTGCTTCTTAGGATGAAATGTAATAAAGCAGCCCATACAAAGCTAAAATTTATGGCCAGATTTGACAAAAAAAACAGCAGCCAAAGAAGAGCAAATTTTAATTATTTCATTCTGGAATTGTTTTTAATTTAGTTTTTTTTAATGCAAGCTGTTGTTCATGTTCCAATAGCAGTACTGTAGCATCACTGTTCATGCTTCTGCAGCGCTTGCTAGTTTTTAGATTTTATTTATTTATTTGGATGGTCCATTAGAAAGGATTCAAGGATCAAGATTAAGTGTTAAGTAGGGTTTCTTAAAGATTACAAAAATAATTTGCAGCCTTTACAATGGTAGACCTTTTGGACATGGAAATGAAATATTTCCATTCCGTTTCTTGGGTTGCATCTTCTTTGTTGATTATTTACCTTGAATTCGTGCTTGCTTGTTTGCCTTCTTTCTCTGATTCTTTTCTTGTACACTCGCTGTGTAAGTTGGTATCAGAACCACTTCCTTATTCTTCGGGTTGGGGTTTTGCAACCTTAAGGTGACTCCAAAAGGAAGAGAACGAGGTCGTGGAATTGCAACTCCTGAAGCAATGGCTCCTGATAAATGATGAGAAGAATTACTGGAGTTTAAAAGGCAAGTTGAAGCGTTAACCAAACATATTGCACAACTAGAAACTCCAACTCGTGATGATGGTGATTATGGGTAGGAGGAAGAAGTGTTTGACAAACTGTTTCATGATCTTGCTCCAGATAGAGAACCTTATGAATGGAAAGATCAAAGATGGTATGTTGGGTTGAAAATTATATCCCAGAATTCAATGGAGGACTTCAAGGAGTGGAATTTATTGATTGGTTGGCAGTTACTCAGAGAATTTTGATTTCAAAGACGTACCTAAAGATACATAGGTGAAGCTAGTTGCATTGAAGTTGAGGGGAAGTGCTTCTGTAAGGTGGGAACAACATAGTTTAATGCAACAAAGAAAAGAAAATTCAAAAATCAATAATTGGGAGAAGATGAAAAAGAAGTGAAGAGAAACTCTCATTCCTTTCAACTATGTTAAAACTATGTATCAGCGTTTGCAACATCTGCAGCAAGGAAACTGGGCTGTTGATGACTACAGAAGAATTCTATCAATCGATTGCTCGGAATGAATTGTCTGAGAGTGAATATCAGCTGGTAGCGTGATATGTTCCCGGCCTTAAGCAGTCCCTACAAGATTTACTCAATTTGAGCAAATTGACTGTTTCAGAGGCAGTTCAGCCAAGAAAAACACACACTTCTAAGAAGGTGATGTGTTTGTATCGGACACAGACACTCGTTGGACACCGCCCCACGTGTCCAACACTCATCAAAACATGCCTTCATTTTTTTTTTTGAAATTTAGATCCAGACACTTGGAGGACACACGTGCCCATTGGTTAAAAACATGTGTCCACCGGTTAAACATATATGAAACTAATTATAAATTTGAACTAAATAATTTAGGATAAAATAATAAAAGAAAAAACAATGTAAATTTATAAAGTGTTAGATTACATTTTTTTTTTAATTATCTTTGAATGGTATATTCATATAAATAACATATAATAAATATATAAAATTATATAGTTCATGTGTGTCCCCTAGGTGTCATGCTTGCATTTTTTGAAAATTGGTGTCGGCGTGTCCATGCCGTATCCATGACGTGTGTCCGTATCCGTGCTTTTTAGCAGTTCAGCATGCTGTGATGGCAGCAAAACAGCATAACAGTAAAAGTGTTGGGGCTATAAACTGTAAGGATTTTGTGAACAAATCAGTGGCAAAAAATAGTCAATGCCAGTGGACAATATCTCATAACCATATAACGCCATCAGGTTTGCAAGGAGGCAATTCTGCAGTAGTAGCAACTCATC